ATGAGCCTAAGTCGGCGGCGGTATCCGAGTCCTATCCTCGCCGATCAACCATTCGTCGGCGGCGAGCGAGGGGGGGAAGTGAGAAGGGGCGGGCCTTCTCAGAAGGCTTGGAAGTCCCTTTGCCTTCTGAGAAGTTCTCTCTAAGCCTTTCCCGAAGATACAGAACACTTCTCGGAAGGCGCGAGGGCTTCTGAGAAACCCCGCCGCCTTCTGAGAAGGCCGTCTCCTTTTCATTTCCCCCCCTCGTTCGCCGCCGAATTCGGGCAACTCGATGGGCTGCGGGGGCAGGGTTCGGAATTTTTCGAGTACGTGGCGAACATCGAACCCTACCCCCGCCTCCCATCGATTCGGGAGGATCGATGGTTGGAATGGGGTAGGGCTTGGCTGTCGCCACCTGATAAGCTTTCGGTGGGCCCCCCCCTCCCTGTTGGGGTCCATCGCGGGTGCCAGACCGTGCCATGACCTCGGCATCCCCGAATCCCACACCGCACGTTGCGCCACCGCGCGGTTTTTGTCTAGGCCTCGGAGGCCCCCGTCGCCCGAGGCATCGGGGAGCGGCCCAGGTCCCAATGACCGCGCGGCCACCCCGCCTCCCCACGGACTCACCGCACGGTGCGGCCCCCGCACCGTTTGGGGGGGCCCCCGCTCCCTGGCGCGCGGAGCTCCTGGCTCGGCGCTGGTCTCGCAGAGCGGCTCAGAGGAGGAGGAGGAGGAGGAGGAGGAGGAGGAGGAGGAGGAGAAGGAGGAGGAGGAGGAGGAGGAGGAGGAGGAGGAGGAGGAGGAGGAGGAGGAGCAGGAGGACACAGCAGCGCAATGAGGGCACGCTCGCGCCTTGGCCTGCTCGCCCGCAGGCGCAGCACGCGCGTGCGGTGCGGAGCCGACTGGCACGCGGGCGGTGCGGACCTCCTCCTCCTCCTCCTCGTCCCCCTCCTCCTCCTCCTTCTCCTCCTCCTCCTCCTCCTCCTCCTCCTCCAGACAGTGCCATAGGTGTTTCCAGTAGAGATCGGGAAATCACCAAGCGTATGGCCATTCGCGCAGGCAAATATTTCAAACTGTGTGTGCAGCAGCTGCGAGCCAGCTTGAACGATCAGGTTTTGCAGCTGGCTTGGCACGGAAGGTGTGTCGGGAGATCGGGTTACCCCGAGAGGCCGCCCTCAGCAGTGTGACGTACTTAGGAGTAGACCAATCATGTGCAGCCGAGCGAGTCAGAGCCGGAGCTTGAGCCAGGCAACACACGAGGTTTCGCAAGGTGCGCTTGAGGCTTCGCAAGCACAATCGCCGTGCTCGTACGTTAGCAGGGTGCACCCAGAAGGCTTTCCAACGAGTTTTATAAACTGGAGTTTCCACGGGAGCGGCTTTTTGGGACCGAGGTCCTGGGTCTAACCGAAGCTGGGTGGCTGAGTTTTCGTAGGCTCCAGAGCAGAGTCCACTCCCCGCAGCACGGCGGCACCAGTCTGTCAGCCAAGGTGGTCCTCTTCGGGGACGAAAGTGCTCGATCAGCGTTGGCTCCCGCGTTGCAGTGGTGTCGTATGATGTGTCTGTCTAAATCGAACCATGATCAAGCACTTGTTTCACTGGACTCTTTATGCAGAATGTGGCTCGGGGCTCAGGCGAGCAATCCTGGGACCTGGCATTCGAGCAAAGGGCCCCTCTCAAGAGCGTGTCTCGCAGCTCGACGTGCAAGCTGGGATGCGCCTGAGCCTCTGGCATGGATAGACCACAACAGTCTCGAGGTGCAGGTCGGACAGCTGACCCCAACACTTCTTCTTGACTTTCTCGAAGTAGGGCTGCAGCGTCAACATGAAAAGGCTTTGGCGCGGAAGCTCAACCTCCCTGAGCAGCACTATGCAACGCTTGATTTAATTTGGGGCCCTGTCTGCGCGCAAACCAGCAAACAAATGACACATTACCCGCGTTTCCTTATACGGTGCTGCGCCTGCGATGCCGTGTGGACGGAAGAGAGAGGCCGTTTTGCTGGATACCAGACCACAGGCAGATGTAGATGCGGGCGCGGCGCCGACACTTTGCACCATCGATTGTACAGTTGCACGCTTCCAGAGGTAGTCTCAGCTCGTAACGCAGCAGCAGATTCGAGCGAGTTTCTCCAGACAGCTAGGGACAGAGATGCTTTGATGTTTACGAGAGGTCTCTTCGCCTATGATCCGAGTGTGGTTCCCCCCCGTGTGCGTCTAGCGTGTGTTGCGGCCCCGGGGGGAATGGCGAAGATATCCCAACTTCTGTTGAGCGGGTCGGAGAGCGTCTGGGGGAGGCTCCGCTGATGGAGTTGGCAGCGGGTAGCTCGTGTACGGAGCAGCCTCTCAGGTGCCTTCGGAGGGCTGAGTGGGCTATGTGTCTCCTGAGACCCGGGAGCGGAGAGCCCCTAGCCATCCTTCGAGACCTTGTTGCAGGCTCCTTCCCCCAGACTCCTGCCTTTGCTGAGCACCTTGCGTATGTCCTCGCGGGTCAGATTTCTGACAGAGAGAGACTCACATTCGCCTCGATTGCATGGCCGTAGTCATTCAGGGGCACAGTAACCTCGACGCGCATATCCGCGTTTCGAACTAGTATGCAACTGTCCGCATGTTTGCGCAGTCGACACAGGTATGCAGTTGCGAACAAAGCAACTGATGCCTACGCGAAGATAGCACTCGCTATGCGTCAGGGCCCTGACCCCATCTTTCTTCAGGATGCAGAGCTGGCCCAATGAAGTGCAGGCGGCTTCATCAAGCTTGCAGCTGTAGTGCTACCATGTTTCCAGAAGGAGCGAAGGTGGCCCAGGCTCCCTCGTGACAGGCGCTCCCAGGTCAGGCGTACGAGCAGTTTCCACGACTTGGGTTACTGTCATGTTTGGCTCCAGTGCAAGCAGTGTTTAAACAGTTGCCTCTCCTGGGACCTCGCCGCCGATGGATGGCTGTAAGGGTACCCCTCCTTTCCTCCTCGAGTTTCTCAGGGTCTCCAAGGGTCACCAAGTTGTTGCGATCCAGGGTTCGGTTGTTGGTGGCGGCTATTAAAACCCTGGGGTCCCTGCGAGGAGGAGGATGAGGAGGAGTGTTCAGCATTTTTTTTTTTTTGTGTGTGTGTGTGTATGTGCGTGAAATGTGGGGGGGGTGGTCTCAAGAACGTGGCTCGAAGCTGGCCCGCGTGTGCCCCCCCCCTACTCGGAAGGGAATCGAGATTCTTCAAACTTTTCGTCGAGGCCTTGGACCCAACCCGAGGCTTCGGTCCACCTTGGATCGGGCTATCCTGTTTTCGAAGGTTGAGGTGCGACCCGTCACCAGGCAGCAGGCCAGGGAAGTTTTGAGGGTCGGGCAGTTCTGTGGCTCCCCAGCGGCGCAGGTACGGCCCGCGCCGCCGCGGGAGCCTCCAGCAGCTCCCCCGCCCCAGGCAACGCGACCTTCCTACGAGGGCCGCGTGGCGGCCTTGATGGCCCGCATCAAGGCCAAAGAGGAGGACAGGAGGACAGGCTAGGCGCAGTCCTCCCCTAATTCGTTTTTCTCCTTTTGTGGTGATGTCACCAGTCTTCTTCGGAGTCGTTCCTATTCTTCTTCTTCTTTTTCTTCTTCTCCTTTTTCCTCCTTCTCCTCCTCCTCCTCCTCCTCCTCCTCCTCCTCCTCCTCCTCCTCCTCCTCCTCCTCCTCCCCCTCCCCCTCACCCTCCCCTTCCCCCTCGCGGCGCGCGGGCGGCGCGCGGTTTGCGCGCGGGCGCGTGTGCGCACGGGCGAGGAGGGGCTCGAAGGATGCACCGCGTCGTTGGGTCGGCCCAGGAACCCGTGAGCTCGGCGAGGGGATTCGGTGCGCGGGCGAAACCAGCGCCCGAAATGGTTGGGGCAGTTGGGGCGTCCATGAACGCCGAACTCCTCAGCCGGCCGAAGGGCGCGGTGTACACATCGAGTTCTTCCCGCTGTCGGCGCTTCCGGCGCCGCCCCTTGCGCGCTCCGCGCGCCGGAGGCGGGGGGGTCATCGCCGATCCGAGGAATCCGTGCGCGCTCCGACAACTTATTCGGCGGCTCCCCAAGGGGGGGAATGAGGGGGTAGGCCTTCTCAGAAGGCGGCGTGGCTTTTCAGAAGCCATCCAGCCTTCGAAGCAACCGCCTGTGTCCCCGGGGAGGGCTCAGAAAACTAAGTTCGGAGGCGGCCTTCTGAGCTTTGGAGACGACCTGCCCCGTCTGCCTCCCCACCAGGGCTCGCCGCGAGCTTATGTTCATGCCGCTTCTTTCGAAGAGCAGACGATGTCCGAGGTCCGCGCGGAATTCTCGGATCGGCGATGGACCTCCCTTCCCTGGCGCGCGGAGCGCGCAAAAGGGTGGCGCTGGAGTCGCCGCCAGGGGCGGTCCAGCGCGGCGCAGATCCGAGAAATCCGCGCGGACCTTCGAAAGTTTATGTGTACGCCATCATGTGTTCCCCTCTTCCAGGAAAGTGCTGGAAGGCTCCGTGGAGTTCGAGGCCCCCGCGCAGCACGAGCTGCCGCGGCTGGATTCACGGGGCCCAGAAATATACACCACCACCACCACTACCGCCGCCGCTGCCGCCACAACCACCGCCGCCGCCACCACCACCACCACGACCACCACCACCACCACCACCACCACCACCACCACCACCACCACCACCACCACCACCACCACCACCACCACCACCACCACCACCACCACCACCACCACCACCACCACCACCACCACCACCACCACCACCACCACCACCACCACCACCTTCACCACCACCACCACCACCCTCCCCCATCCCCCTCCCGGGAAAGAGGAGGGAACCACAGGAGGGTGGAGGAGGACAGGGTCATGGAGGTGCTGGTGGTGCACATCCTTTGGGGTTCGCAGGATTCGGCCCGGCGGCGCCAGATCGACGCGGCGGGCAGCCGCAGCGGGCTGTCCACCCCGAGGCCCACGGGGTGTTGCGCCGGCCGTGCGCGCCCTTGCGCGGGCCCGGGCCCAGGATCGGCGTGGTGCCCCGCCCGCCCTGCCCTGCGCGGAGGTCCCGGCGCCGCGATTTTCTCGAGCCGGGCGTCGTCGCCCAGCGTCGGGCCCCCGGGGCCCTCGCAGCTCGACGCGCCTCGCACAGAATTTGGCGCAGAGAGGTGGGGTCCAGGGCTCTGGTCGACGATCTGTCTCGGGGTTGCGATGCCTCGGGCGTCGGATGGAGGGGTCGGCGTGCGCGTTCTGCCCTGCCCCGGGCCCACCCTGCCCTCCTCGCGCCCTGCACGGACATCACGACGGAAGGTCTTGGGCCGCTTTCGGCCTCCGCGGGCCTTCGCCAAACCTTGGGGGCCGTCAAGAACAGACTCAAACCAGATCTCCATCCATGGATGGAGATCTGGTTCCTGCCAAGGTGTCCAGACCTCTGCACGGGGAGCCAGATCGAGGAAAAATTGTGGCGCCGGATGTCTGGGTGCGCGCCTTCCCATTCATCCCCTGGTGTGGTTTTCCCTCCCCAAGCAGTGCTTGCATTCATTTGTTCTTTTTTTAAATCGCTAAGGAGTTGGATGGCTCCGGCGAGAATTCGCCACGTTGTTGCCCGTGGTCACCTCGTGCCCGTCTCGTGAGCTGGCTGGGTCCGGCGAGCTGTCGCCACGTTGTTGCCCGTCGCCGTCTCGTGGCCGTCTCTTGCGCCGGATGGGTCCGGCGAGGTTTCGCCACGTTGCCACCCGTCGCCGCCTCGTGGCCGCCTCATGCGCTGGGTGGTTCTGGCCAGGTTTTGCCACGTTGTTGCCGCCCGTGACCGTCTCGCCTCGTGGCCGCCTCGTGCGCCATAGCTTGCTCTGCTCAGCTATCGCCACGTAGCCCACACCACATACACCACACAACATAGCTCGCACCATGTAGCTCACACCATGGTACTGCGAAGGCCTTACGGCCGGTGCCGCCGATAACGACGTAGATGAAAACGAGGGGGGGAAGGGGGAGGAGGATGAGTGGGAGGTGGAGGAAAGGTGGATGCGGTGGATGAGGGAGGAGGTGGGGGAGAAGGATGTGGAGGAGAAGCAAGAGGAGGAGAAGGAGGCAGAGGAGAGCAGGAGGAGGGGGAGCAGAAGGGGGAGGAGGAGGAGGAGGAGGAGGAGGAGGAGGAGGAGGAGGAGGAGGAGGAGGAGGAGGCTTTCTTGGGACAGCCTGGGGCTTTCTTGAGGCCGTCTTGGGCCGTCCAGGGCTCCTCTTGCGCCGTCTCGAGGCACTCTTGGAGGCCTCCTGGGCAATTTGGGGCTCTCCTGGGCTGTCTGGGGGCAGTTTGGGGGCCCCTTGGGAGCCTCTTGGGGCCTCTTGGGCCGTCTTGGAGGCGTCTTGGGCCGTCTTGGGGCACTCGTCGGCCGTTCGGGAACCCTCTTGGGGGCATCTTGGGCCGTCTCGGGGCGATCTTGGGTGCCTCTTTGGCCGTCTTGGCGCGTCGGGAAGCGGAAGAGGCAAGAACGCCAACATCTTCCAAAAACGTATTGGAAATACTTGAATTTTGCCTCTTGGGGCCCTCGCGGGAAAGCTCCTGGAGGCCTCTTGGGGCGCTTTGCAGGCCTCTTGGGCCATCTGGAGGCCGTCGAGGCGTCTTGGACAGATCGTTCGGCGATTCGGGGTTCTCTTGGACTGTCTTTGGGGCCTCTTGGGGCACTCTTGGCCCGTCTTGGGGCTTTTTTGGGCTCCGGGACTCCCAGGGGGGGCGTCGTATCTGACCCCCCCCCCCCGCGGTATTTTACGCAGCATAGCTTGCACCACATAGCTTGCACAGCATCGCTCACAACATGTAGCTCACGCCACAGAGCTTACACATCATGGCGTACACCCCATCGATTGCAGGACTGCTTACACCGCAAAGCTTACACAGCATAGCTTATTAGACAGCATAGCTTGCACAAGATATCTTTCACCTCTACAATGCAGTCACTCACTGGTCGGGGCCCATGCTGGCTGACATTGTTTTTTGCAATCCGCGTCCCCAGAGCTCCCAGCCCTCTCCCCCCGGGGGGGGGGCAGTTTTGCGGCCCGGATCTGTAGTTCTGCTGGCCCAGGGGCCGCAGCGAAGGAGGGGCGCCGCGATGGGCGAAATCACATCGTTGGAGGGCGCGCGCGCCGATCCTCGGGCCCACGAGGGGCCTGCCCGGGCCGCGTGCAGAGGCGCTCGGCTGGCGTCCCCCCCTGCGCGAGGTCCGCCCGCGGGGCCCCGCAGTCGCCCTACAACACCCGCTGAGGGGGGGCACCCCGGCCGCCGCCCGGAGGGCGCCGCGGCCGCAAGCGGCGAGTCCACGCCGAGGGCCACCCCGCGGGGCACCGCAGGCGCGTTGCGGCACCCGCCGAGGGCGCCAAGCCGACGCCGCCCCGTGGCGAGCCGCTGGGGCGGCGGGGGCTGCGGCCCGCGGCCGCCGAGCCCGAAGGGCGGCGCCAGGGCTCTCTGCCGCAGCCCTGGCCCCCCACCCCCCCACTCGCCCGCTCTGGTCCTGCTGCTGCTGCTGCTGTTGCTGCTCCTGCTCCTCCTCCTCCTCCTCCTCCTCCTCTCTCCTCCTCCTCCTCCTCCTCCTCCTTCTCCTTCCTCCTCCTCCCTTCTCCTCCTCCTCCTCCTCCTCCTCCTCCTCTTCCTCCTCCTCCTCTCCTCCTCTCTCCTCCTGCTCCTCCTGCTCCTCTTCCCCCTCCTCCTCCTCCTCCTCCTCCTCCTCCTCCTCCTCCTCCTCCTCCTCCTCAACCCCACAGCTGGCGAGCCAGAGGCTGAGGGCGCGGGCCCGCTCTTGGCTTCAGAGGGGGGCCAGTTGAGGCAGGGGTAGATCGTTGGCCTTCGGGGGGGGCCCCCTCGTTGCCACGACTGGGCTCTCCCTCTCTTGTTCTGCTGCTGCTGCTCTTTCCTCCAGGCTTCCGAGGGGGGCCAGTTGAGGCAGGGGTAGATCGTTGGCCCTCGGGGGGCCCCCTCGTCGCCACGACTGGGGCGCAGCTCGGAAGACTGGGTGCGTCTAGATGCCGGGGAGGGGGTCTTGGGATCGATTTGGAGCTGCCGCGGTCTCAGCTCGCCCTGCCCCGACGACCGACTCAACGCCCGATTGCTGCGTCCTCCTCGCCCGTGCTGTTCATCATGGGGTCGCCGTAGGCACACGCGTGGCTGTGGGGGCCGCGCCTGGTGGAGTCGTGGGTCGGGTCCTCTGCCAGGGTTGCCCCGAGACAGCATCCGCCCCGCGCTGCCCTGGTGGTGCCAGGCAGGACTGCGGGGGTCCGCAGGTGGTCGCGAGGCACTCGCCCAGCCTGTGAGCGCGGAAAAAATCCATCCACCTACGCTTGGTGTCACGGCCGTTGTGTCACTACGGTCCTCGCCTGTTTCGACGTGGCGGCCCGCGTCTGCGCCAGCGCTTCTGTTTCAGCTCCCACCTCGCCTCTCGTTTGCAGTGCCGATTTTGGGGGTCCTGATGAGGTGGCGCACTTGTGGGCAGCACCACTCCATCATACACTGTGGGCATGCCTCACACCTTACAAGATTAGCACACGTATGTTCAATACTGGAATTCTGAAGCACACTCCCGAACACACGCACACGTTCATCGCTGGAATTTCAAATTTGATATCTGCGACGGCCACTTTGGCTTGTCCGACCGGTGTGGCCTACACGACCTAGGGGATCCTTCCACATCTTCGTGGTCATCTGACGGCGGCAAGTATGTCACGTTTTCCATTCTTCATTCAGTTGTTTGAAGCACCACCGGCTTTCTCACGAATCTCGTAAGGCATTTCGAGCCCGCTGGGTTGTTTTGGTACTGTGCACGAGGTGGTCATATCAAGGTGTTCGCTTTGGTTTTATCACGAGGCATCGGTACAGCCAGGTGGTCATGTATGAAATTCTGGCTGCGCTCCGATGTGCTTTGCAGTCCTGCTGCGCACAGGTGGGCTTCACAGTCCTGTCGTCATGGCGCCTGCATCGCAGAGCGGATTTCGTTCGGAAAACAATATGGGCCCAGACTGAAAATTTCGTTCCGGATTTCGCATTTAATTTCGGGGGGATTTTTGGGGGCCAAAATGAAGACAACAAATGATCCACGTGACATTGACTTCGTTTTCCGCTCGTTGTTTCGGGTTTTTGTACTGACCGAAATCCATGCAGAAATCAGCTGCAGCACGTCTGCAAGGTCGGTGCAGCGACTGTTGCGCTCTGCTATGCTTCCCAGTCTTGCTGCGCCCCCATTCGTGAGCCTTACAAGGCATCGGTACAGCGAAGATGAGCTGCTTCATTTGTGGCGCACTCCCAGGCAGCGTGCACGACAACGATCGCCTGTACCAGAACGAGCACAATTCCGTCACCATAATTCCTAAGCGTGACGGCTGCGACAACTGCGATCTCCGTTTTTCGTTATGTTTGCCTTGTGTGGCGTACGCGACCTATGTGGCCTAAGGCCTCATTTGACGGTGGTCGTGTGGCAGCCCACCGCCATCTACGTTCGTCATTTTTCTGGCAGTGGTTTCATGCACCAGCGTTTCCAGTATGCGTCGTTACCTTTCTCCCAATCCGTCGTAACCACGTCCAGCACTTTGGGGCGGGCACCACGTCAGCGCCACGTGGCCACTCCGACGGCAGCGCAAACTGCCACTGCGAGCCTAATGGCAGTGCCGACTGCCAGTCCGAGTCCGTCGATAGCGCACTAGCAGTCTGACGGCTACTCCGATTACAAGCCCAGTCCCACGGCAACTCTGACGATAGTGCCCACTGCCGCTGCCAGTCCGACGACCATTAGTCCGACGACAACGCTGACAGCCACTCCAGAGGCAACGCCGGGTGCACGTCGACGCAGGCGCGAACTGCTCTTCCGGCGGCCACGCCGACTACCGGGCCAGCGTCTCTGCCTGGTGCCCGCTCGGTGGCGACGCCGTTTGCTGCAGCCCTGACCAATATGCTGCCGGAGGGCGCAATGGATGGCGACGTGCCCGCCTACTATTACTGGACCAGAGGACATCTCAGACTGCCCATCTCTTCCAACGCGGGCGTTGATGGGCAAATATTCCACCACCACTACCACATGTAGGACGGCGGAGAAGGGAGGATGAGGAGGTCCTCCTCCTCCTCCTCCTCCTCCTTTTCCTCCTCCTCCTTTTTTTCCTACCTATAGGAATGGTTGTGGGAAATGGGCCCACCAGGCGTTGTTTCGGAGCTCCTTGGCCTCTGCCTGCTCCGATCTCGACTCCCAGCCTCGGCGCGACGGACTCTCTCCCCGTGCCCATGGGCGACGCCTGCTCGGCCAGCCCTCGAACCTGGGGCACCGGTCTGGCCCGGGAGGGCTCCTCGACGCCTGCGGGCGTCGGTGGCTTGGCTGGCGCCTTTTGCCTTGACTCCCTGCGGCACGGAGGCCCGCCACTGTCAGACCACACGCGCTGGTACCATCCCATGGCAAGACTTCACAGGAGGAGAAGGCACTCGGACCTCTGCCCTTTCCTCGTTTTCTCCTCTTTTGGCCTCCTCGGAGGCCCTCGTCACCACCGTCGGATTCGCCTCGAGATTCTGGTCAGAGCGCACCCCCTGGAGAGGTCCGGGGAGCAGCGGTATCGGTACCTCCTGGTCTCCCCAAGACCATCCGAGGGGGCATGGTGTCAAGACCGCCAGCCACACTCCACGACCAGCTCATGCCAAGCCTGGCGCACTCTGTCTCAGCCAGAGCCCAAGGGCCAATGCCGCCTCAGGCCAAGGCGATTACCTGCCTAGACCATCTCACTCCCTACGTAGATACCCCCACACGCCAAGACCATCAGTGGAGCAAGAGAGGCACCTACACCACGCAAAAGGCTACTTTCGCGGCAGGGACACCACTGCGACAGCATCTGCCTCGCCGTCCAGCGATTCAAGCCAGCTCACATATATTTCACCTACGACAACTTTACCGCCAGCGACCGCCTGCTCACCATCATAACCGCCACCTCCTGGAAGAGCACCACCGGGTCAACGGCAACAGCACACCATACCAGGCCAGAACAGCGGCCCAGACGCCTGACATTGCGAAGATCGATGCCCGTTTTTCCCACCCTGGATGCATTCGGGAGTGAGCCTTGCGCTTCCCTTCCGATGGGCGAATCACGGCACAGCACGCTGGCGCGCGCCAGACCCACAATCCTCACCGCTGGCGCCTCTGCCTCCGCCTCTCCCCGTGCTTCGCAAGCGTCGGGCATCCCTGGCTCGTCCGACGACTGTCGAGCGGGGTCGAGTCACTCACTCCTCGCTCCTCCCTCCTCCTGCTCCTGCTCCTCTTGCTCCTCCTGGCTCCTCCTCCTGTTCCTCCTGCTCCTCCTGCTCCTCCTGCTCCTCCCTCCTCTCTTCCCGCCGTCTCGTTGCGTGCCCCTCCTCTCCTTTCTCCCCGCTCCTCCGGCCTCTCGCCTCCGCGAGAAAAGCACGGCGCCGTGAACCAAGCTGACCAGAGCTCCCGACTTCACCTCCCGCGGGCGATACCCTCGAGTCTGGCCGGTCCGCCATAACTCCCCCCCTGCATGCCTCGCGGGCCTGGACGTGCGCCAGTATGATTTTTTCAAAACCGCGGCCCCAGAGGCCCTGACCCCCCCTCACTGGGGCTGCAGTCAACCCGCATAGTAAGGATGGGCAACCTTCGCAAGGGTACCCTTGCATCCTTGCGGCCCATCCTCAGCGACTTTCGCTGGCCAGCCTCGTTCGAAAAACGTTCGCATGGGCCTCCAAGGCCCTTGCATCCTCACCGCGTATCCTTACGATACGGGTTGGTTGTACAGCCCCCCCCCTATAACGTAGACTACCCACCTAGCGTAGCCCGGACCTCGGTGACACCGAGCCCGGCCCGCGCGGAATGGGTGTGAGACCTGCATTCTGGCGACCCGATAGTCTCGGAATGATGCTCCTGCTTGCGCGTGGGCCACGTCTCTGATTGAAAATGTTGCTGTCGCCTAGGCGCCAGCGACATCCTTCATTGAGCGTGTGGTTCTCGCCTGCGCGTTGGCCACAGCTCAGAGTGAAAATGTTGCTGTCGCCTAAGCGCCAGCGACATCCCTCATTGAGCGTGTTGTTCTCGCCTGCGCGTGGGCCACATCTCTGATTGAAAGTGTTGCTGTCGCCTAGGTGTCGGCGACATCCTTCATTGAGCGTGTTGTTCTCGCCTGCGCGTGGGCCACATCTCTGAGTGGAAATGTTGCTGTCGCCTAGGCGCCAGCGACGCCCTTCATTGAGAATGTCTTTCTCGCCTTGGCGCCAGCCAGACCTCTGATTAAAAGTGTTGCTATCGCCTAGGCGCCGGCGACATCCTTCATTGAACGTGATGTTCTCGTCTGCGCGTTGGCCACATCTCTGATTGAAAATGTTGATCTCGCCTAGGCGCCAGCGACTTCCTACATTGAGCATGTCGTTCTCGCCTGCGCGTGGGTCACATGTCTGATTGAAAGTGCTGCTGTCGCTCAAGTGCCGGCGACATATCTCTGATTGAAAATGTTGTTGCCGCCTAGGCGTTGGCGACATCCTTCATTGAGCGCGATGTTCTCGCCTGTGCGTGGTCCACATTTCTGACTGAAAATGTGGCTGCCGCTTTCGCGCCAGCGTCCTTCATTGATAATGTCGTTCTTGCCTTGGCGCTAGCCGAATGTCTGATTGACGCTGCTTCTGCCGCCTAGGCGCCGGCGACATCCTTCATTGAGCATGTCGTTCTCGCCTTGGCACTGGCCAGATCTTGGAGCAAAGGTGGCTGTCACCGAGGCGCCAGCGACATCCTTCATTCAGCATGTCGTTCTCGCATTGGCGCAGGCCAAATGTCTGATTGAAGATGTTATTTTTGCTTCGGCGCCGACGACATCCTTTATTGAGCATGCCGTTCTCGCTGTGTCGCCCAGGCCCCGGCCATCTTTCATTGAGAGTGTCGTTCTCGTTGTGGCGCCGGTTACATGTCTGATGACTAATGTGGATGTTGCCCAGGCGGCGGCCACATCTTTCATTGAGCATGTCGTTCTCGCTGCGGCATTGGCCACATCTGGTTGAAACTGCTTCTTTCGCCTAGGCGCCGGCCGCACGCATGATTGCGATAATTGTTCCCGCCTCAACGGGGGCCGCACTCTCGACTCGGAATGCTGCTTTCGCCCAGGTCATAGGCGCCAGCCACGCGCATGATTGCGAGTGTTGTTCTCTCGATTCGGAATGCTGCTCTCGCTTGGCGCCGGCCAAATCTGATTGCGAATGTTGTGCTGCCGCTTCGGCGCCGGCCGCGCCCTTGATTGCGAATGCCCTTCTCGCCTTGATTATAGGCCGTACCATCGCTGGGGCCCGCTACGACCGGCTGATCTTCCTAGCGCTGGATTGGGCGAAGGCCTTCGACAGTGTGTCGCCAGAGGGTTTATTGCAAGCTCTACTCCGCTTCGGCGTGCCAGCACCATTTGCAGAATGTGTACGGTCAATCTACACGGATAGATCGTTCCGGGTACGAGAGGCCGGAGCAGTGTCCGCATCTTGGCCGCAAGAGTACGGTATCTCACAGGGCTGCCCGCTATCGCCGCATTTGTTTTCCATAGTAATGACAGTCTTGATGCACGACGCCACAGTGGCTTTCACGCGGCAGGGTTTTACGCAAGATGAGCAGCCTCCGGTCAGCGAGCTGATCTACGCGGACGACACGCTCGTGGTGGGCACCAGCGACGAGTTCGTGGGCGCGCTCATGAAATGCATCCAGGAGGCAGGGCAGCATTACGGATGGATGTTTAACTGAAGCAAGATAGAGGCCCTGCCTGTTAGGTGCCAGACCGCGCTTGCAAAACCCGGCGGCGCAGTGGTGCCGTGCAGGGAGAGCATGGTTTATTTGGGCGGCCTCCTATCTGCCAGCGGCGGGAGCGGCCCCGAGCTGAGCAGACGCTTGGGCATGGCAGCGGCAGATTTCAGCACGCTCTGCAAGGTTTGGAAGCACTGCAATATTCCATTGCGCAGGAAGGTGCGGATATTTGAAGCATGCATTGTATCCAAACACATGTATTGCTTGCACACCGTGTGGCTCAACAAGGCCGAGACAAACAAGCTGGGCGCCTTCCAAGCACGGTGCCTCCGAATAGTGGCTGGCATAGGGCATTCGTATGTGAGTCACATCACCAATGAGTCCGTGCGCGCCACATGTGGTTGCGGCAAGCTGAGTTCTTTGCTGGCGTACAGACAGTTGGTCCTGATGGGAAACGTCGCCCGGCAACCAGATGGTAGCGCAGTGAGGCGCTGCGTCTTCACGCCAGGGAGGTGCACACTAGCCCGCCCGCGGGGCCCCCGCAGGCGCGGCCGGCCCAGAAACACTTGGAACCGGTGTGTTTACGACTTGGCATGCCAAGCAGCTGGCGGACAAGCAACTCTACAACAGGCACTGACTGGGTCTGCGCACGCGTGGCGCAAGGCTGCCTGGCGCTTCTGCTTTGGCGTGCCGGCGCGAGCATAGCCTCGCACGTTTCACTGCCAATGCATCCTGAACGTGCACGGCTTGCTCTCTCTCTCTCTCTCATCGCTGGGGCGCCTGCCACATCTTGATTGCGAACGCCATGTGCGTCGCAGGGGAAGACGCAGCCTCGCAAACTTGAGCACTGCGCAAGCTTCCGAATCACGGCCCCGTCCGAGGCCAGTTTAGTGCCAAGGTGCCGCTTGTATTGTTTCGCGTTGTGCTACTGGTTGCCGTTTTGCTGGTCATAATTGGTGCTGCTGGTGCCGCTAGTAGTGCTGCGCGTGGTGCTGCCGATTTCCGTTGTGCTGGTCACAGTGGTGTTGCTTCCAGCGATGCTCCTCACAGTGGTACTCCTCGCTGCTCTTATGCTTGTGCGCTTAGTGCTTTTGTTTCCCGTCTGGCTGGTCGCTGTGGTGCTGCCGATGGCGCCCGTAGTGCTACGTGTTGTGCTGCGTCTTCCCATCGTGCTGGTCACACTGGTGCTGTTGCGTTTCGGAAGGCTGTTGTCTCTGGTGATGCTCGTCACACTGGTTCTGCCCTCCCCGCCCGCCCAGTGCACCCAGCACCCCTACGCCCAGACAGTTTATTTCGGCGTCGCACCGCCCCCACCGTCCCGCCCCGACCCTTCCCCCCTCCCCAGCCGCCCAGTGCCGTTTGCACCCCGCCCCCCTCCGCTCCGACCATTTCATTTCGGCGTTGCACCGCCGGTGCCGCCCCACCGCCCCGACCTTCCCCCCTCCCCTCCCGCCCAATGCCCTCTGCACCCCGCCCCCTTCCGCCCCGACCACTTCATTTCGGCGTCGCACCGCCCCCGCCGCCCCGCCCCTCCCGCCCCTCCACCCACCCACCCAGACAAACCGCCACCATCACCAGCGCAACCCCCTCCGCCCGGACCACTTCATTTCGGCGTCGCACCGCCCCCACCGTCCCGCCCCACGAGCCTTCCCCCGCTCTCCGCCTGCCCAGTGCCCTTTGCACCCTGCTCCCCTCCGCCCCGACCCCGCCCCCCTCCGCCCCGACCGCTTCATTCTGGCGTCGCACCGCCCCCACAGCTCCCACCGCCCTCCCCCTCCCCAGAAGCCCAGTGCACTCTCCACTCCGCTCCCCTCCGCCCCGACCCGTTTTTATTCGGCGTCGCACCGCCCCCTCCTGGCCCGCCCCCCCCTCGCCCCTGTCTCCACCCAGGCCCACCACCACCACCAGCGCGGCCCGTTCCGCACCGACCACTATTTCGGCGTCGCGCCGCCCTCACCGATGCCCAGCAGCTCAGTGCCCTCGCCACCCCGACCTCCTCCGCCCCCCTCCGCCCCGACCATTCTATTTCGGCGTCGCCCCCCCCCCCCCCCCCCCCCCTTCACCTTCCCCCCCAGCGTGACCCTCTCCGCCCCGACCATTTTATTTCGCCGTCGCACCGCCCTCACCCTAGCGTTCCCCAGCAGCCCAGTGCCCTCTCCACTCCGCCCCCCTCCGCCCCGACCATGTCATTTCGGCGTCGCACCGCGCCCACCGCCCCGGGGAGCCTCGTCAATGTCTTCATAGGGCTCTCGGGGACCTCTTGGGTCTTGGGTGTCAGTTGGAGGCCTCTGGGGGGGGCATGTTAAAGGCCTTTGAGGCCATCTCGTTGGGGGGCGGCCCGTAGAGCCTCCTCGAGTTCGCCCTCTGATGACCTTCTTGCGGCCCTCTGTGTGCACTCCTTCTCCGATTTCTCGTCCCCTCTCTCCTCTCTCCTCCCCTCCTCTTCCTCCTCCTCCTACTTCTCCTTGTGCTTCTCTTCCTCCTCCTCCTCCTCCTCCTCCTCCTCCTTCCCCCTCCCTTTTGTGCCAGAGCCAAGGCAAGGCGTGCCACTTGCTTCTTCAGGAGTGCAGCGTCGAACAGGGATAAAGTAAGAAGGCATAGTAAGGATGGACAATCTTCCCAAGGATACCGTTGCGTCATTTACCTTTCGGCCCATCCTTGGCCACTTTCGCTGGACAACCTCGTTCGAAAAACGTTCACACGGGCGTCCAAGGTCCTTGCATTCGTACCGCGCATTACGGTTGATTGTAAATACGAGCACCGGCGAAGAACTCCCTAAAAAATTGCTAAGGACAGGCTAAGGAATACTATTCTTTCTTGCGAAGTACAGCCTCGAACGGGTAGAGAAATACAGCCCCGAACAGGGATAGTCCGAGGAATTGAGCTTGCCTTGTCTCGATCCCCGGCAGGCTGATCACGCTAGCAGGCGAAGGGCCCTCCCCTGGGAAGCCTCGCCCGGAGCAGGAGAACCTCTCCGCTGGGCGCGGCTTGTCCAAGCGCGCTGCTCTCACCTTGCAGCCGACGAGCGGTTGACGCCGTCGTGGGAAAAGGAGGGCCAGGGTGAAGGTCTGATGATCGGAGGAGGAACAGGTGCCCATACCCATACCCTCGCTTCGTTCTCCCCTTTTTGGGCCTCCTGGGAGGCCCTCGTTGCCACCGCTGGATTCGCCCCGAAATTGTAGTCAGAACTCACCCCGGGAGATGTCCAGGGAGTAGCGGTATCGGTACCTTTTGGTTTCCCCAGCCAGGGTGAAGGTCGGATGAGGGGAGAAGTATTGCTATCAGTCGACGAAGAAAAGCCGCCATACCATAAACTTTTGGCGCTACGTGCGAATTTCTTGGATCCGCGCTGGGCCCTCCCCAGCGGCGCCTCCGACGCCGCCCCTGGCGCGCTCCGCGCGCCGGGCAGGGGGGGACGGCGCGGATCCAAGGAATCCGCGCGGAGCGACAACAGTTTTCTGCTTATGCCGTTTGTTCTTCTTCTACGGGTGAAGGTCGGATGCACGGACAAGTGCTGCTATCAGGGGCAGCGGTGGGGGGGATGGGCTCAGGCGGGGATGCATCGACCCCCAATCGCCACTGATTGCCGGTGTGGGGCTCGATAGCCCTTCTTCGCCCAGGAACGCTCGCTTTCGCCATCGGGGGCCTATCGCTGATCTATCGGCGATGTATCGCCCACTCCAGGCGCGTCGATGTTTCCCCCTCTGCCTCGTTTTGGCCTTCTTGGGCCTCGCTTTGGCCTCGTCTTGGCCCTCAGCCTCGTTTTGGCATCGTTTTGGCCCTCTGCCTCGTTTTGGCCCATCTCGCCTATCGTTGCCCCTCCGCCTCGTTGTGGCCTTTT